GCAAAGAAATTGTGCAGAAAAGAAAATTATGGTTTTTTTTTTCCTTAGGGTGGCTCTGATACCATATAAACTTGAAAGGAAGAAATATAGAATAAACTTTTTCTCTGTATTAGCACACTATTCACAAATTTACACAGGTTCTCTTTATAAGAGAGAATACATGCACATAACTAGCTGACCTAATTAATAATTTCCTAATTTACAATATTTGACCAATATTCTATTTACAACAAATATCCTCAAAATATTATATTTACAGCTAATAATAGTTGGTAATATTACTACCGAATCTTTCCTTTTCAATAATATACATACATACACACACATATATATACACAATGCATGTATGTTGATATGTATCCCATAATGGACATAAAAAGGAAGAAAAAACTTACTTGTCCATTCTTTTTCTGAGTTTATGCAGCAAGCGAAGATTGTCGTTCTCAATGTGTTTGATAAGTTTCTCAATAAACAAATGACATTCAAGAGCACCAAGCTTAGTAACATCAATAACCCTTTTTTCCTTCAACCCCGTTTTCACCATATTCATGGTCAAACAAAGATGATCTCAACCTTTCAAAGTGGGTAATCTCTCAATGGTAGCCCATTGCAGTGCACATTCATCATCAACCTCATCACCCATTGCAGAACCCAAATCCAAACTGCTTCGGAAACTAGAAGTGTGATGCTGAAATGAGGAACTGAGACTTTTTAGCTCTGTTCTCAGTGATTCTATCTCATCATAACCCACCAACTAAGCCATATTGAGTACTAGAGGACTTCAAACTATGAATGGTGGGAAGAAAGGCAAAGAAGTTATGGATTTATATACAGATGTGTAGTTTTCTCTTTAATTTTTAAAATATTAAGTTTAATGAGGTTAGTTGTTGCATCATTCTCATTCCTTTGTGAAATGTAGATGAAAAAGTTTAATAAAAGTTGCTACCTAACCAAAAAAAGGGAAAAAAGAAAGAGATATTGTTGTTGATGTAATATTCTCCTTACCTTGTATAGCTATTCAGATTTAGGTTGTCTTATGCAGCTCTTACCAACCCAAATGTCTTGGACGGCTCTCACCAATTTAGTTGTCTTGTATAACTCTGTCATCTTGTTCACTTTGCACATTCTCTGTGCTCATAGTTTTCAAAATGCGTCTACATAGACATGAAGCATCCCTTATAAGTGCAACAACCTCTCATTGTTTAGTAGGCATGCTTAGTCCGTGTGATTAGCATTTCTCTTTTCACATAATTGCAAGCATCCGGCCTGTTGCAAGTGGTATCAAAACAAATCCAATCCTTCTTCCAGTGTCTCACCAAGCACTCATGCTAAAGGTCATGTTCACGTTTGGGCAGTAGTTTGGATGGGTAGACAAAGTAATACAATACTCTAAGAGGCCCAATATCAAAACACACACACACATATATATATGTTGTGACAAATACCATGAACCAAAAACACAATAAGAAAATTAACATGCCACATACAAAGAATACAAAGATTTATGTGGTTTAACTTAAAGCTTACATCCACAGTGAAGATTCGACGAAAGATTTCAGTATGCGACGAACAAGACATAACAAATTTCAGCTTCCCTCCTCCCCCCAACCCCTCTCACACTTTCCAACAATAGTTATCAGTGTTTTCTTCTACACACTCCAAACCCTAAACGCCGATATGGACCCTCAAAAATTGGGTCCATGAGGTAACTATATATATATATATATATATATATATTCACAAAGTTCGTTTTTGGGTCAATATCAGTTGCAAAGCATTCTGGGCCAAAACAAAATTCGGAACCAACATCAAAATATATATGTACACGTGTGCTAATTGAAATGTACAAACAAGCATAGATTTGACATATCAGTCAATCTAGTATTAAGCTGGATCACATAGGTAAATCATAAATAATCAATGTTTTACCGTTTATAAGGTCAAAAGCCAACAAATAAATTGAATGCAGCTATGTATATTCTATAGGATTTGAATCAAGATAGAGATCAACCAATCTGATAAATAGGCCAGAAATAAAGGGGATATGCAAGCAAGGTGTATAAACATTGCTCTATTGGCTGAGATGCATTAAAAATTAGACCAGATTTGCCATAAGGAATTATAAGACCATTAGCAAGGTAATGTTTATATAATCATTAAATTTATCATGGTTGGCACTATGGAGCTCATACAGTATGTTCTCAGATCCTTCTTTTTCAAGTCAACTGCTGCACTGTTAACAAATAGTTAATATCAATCCATTTTCAAGGGTCTTGTTCACCAATAGATCATACATGACTCAATATTCATAACTATCAAACAGTGTTAACAATCTTGTCTATTTTCAACCTATATGTAAAGCATAATTCAGCCTATGATAAAAATTATGAAAAGTGAAATGTGAAAAAAAAATAATAATAAAATAAATAAATAAATTTGCTTAATAAAGATTCCAATTCCAGCTAAGCACTTCAAAAACCCAAGTCCATAACCTCTGGGGAAATATACAACTGAACAGTAAATAATTGAATAAATTTTGCTAAATTCCCAATTGGGTTAGCATCTCAATTAAACCCAAAATGATAACAATAAACAATTGAATGAATTTTGCAAAATTCTCAAAATTAAGCCTTGCGAAAAAAAAAAAAAAAACGAATTTGGGATGATCATTCGTCCCAGTGGAGGCCAGCTGCAGCATTGCAACCGTCGCCAGAAAAAAAACATAGGAAAGTGAAATAAAAAAATCATTTGGTAGATAAATGAGAAATTATAGATGATTATGAGACACACACAAATGAACGTGTGAATATATATATATATATATATATATATATATATATATATATATATATAAATTGAGTTTTGTTTTGATTGGGAGCCGAGAAAAAGAAAATGAGAAACCTGATGAGAAAATTCAAAGGCGATCTTCTGAGATTTTTCGCGGTAGGGTTTAGTAAGAATCATTATTGTTTAACGGGACACAGTTGGAATTTTATTTTTTTCACTCTCTTATAGAAGGGCACCGTTGGTATTTTAAAATTCTCACTAAAACATAACATCAACTTATTGTGTTTTCATATATGCATTTTTTAATGCCACTGGAATGTCGAATTTTTCAATCTAATTAGACTAAGTTCTTCTCGTATAATTTATAGGTAGTTCTCTTAATTTATTTATGATTTTTTTTTAGAGAGGGTGTGAAATTAGATTGTTACAATACTCGAATAATATTAAGATATTTAATACCCAAGTACAAAATTAATAGACAAGCAATTAAGAAATAGAATAATCTAAATTAGAGATTACATATCTCATTAATTTGTTATTTAGTTTCTCAAATCTCAGATTGATACCATCATTTCTGACTAACTATATCAATACCAAGTTATGGAGAGCTTCAAATTGGAATGGTAGAAAGAGAGAGAGAGGAAGAATATATATATATATATATATTGGTGCGTGCGCGCGCACGTTAGCTAAATAATTATGAAAGTGAGGTACATTACCACATCATTCACATTCCTCTGTACAAAGAAGTTGAAAATGTGTTTTTTTTTTAAGAGTGCAAAATTCATGACACTAAATTAGAGTGAAAGAGTGTAGTTTATATATTGCGTATTCCACCTAGGAAGGGAAAAAGCAAAAAATTAATATTCCGCACATGTTTCATTAATTTACAGCGTTGAGGATTTGATTCAGTAAGGTAAGAATCAAATTCTTAAAGTTATAATATTCCACGGTGAAAAGAAAATTTTACACCATTCAGTACCCAAACAACAAATATCTCGCACAAAATCACCTTGGTACGGTATATGCACATTTTGCTCATGGACAAATATTTGCTGACACATAGTGATAGAATTTACTAAAGTAAAATATTAATGTGTCAGAATATAATTGGTTGATGACACTGATGACGTAGTATCATAGGTGTAGAAAAGTTTTTTTTTCTACCTACACAACTACATTTGCCTATAGCTACAAATGAACCGAGTTGAGCTGAGCTTGGATCTGGTCGGGCTTGGCTCGTTTGTTTACGAAGTCTGTTCAGGCTCAAGCTCGGGCTCGGGCTCGGGCTCGGCTCGTGATGAGCTCAAAAACTTGAGATCAAGCTCGTCTTGATTTTAAAATCTCGGGCTCAACTCGTTTAATAAAAATAATATATATATATATATATATATATATATATATATATTAAAAAAAAAAACTTGTTCTCAAAATTAATTAGTATTTCACAAAAAAAGATAAAAATAAAAATAAAAAATCCAAAAGGTAAACTTATATTCCTCATGCCCATAACACAAACAAATCCAAATTAAATGATACAGCCCAAATTAGGCACCCCAATGATGCTTTCAGCCCAAATAAGGTATAACGAACCCGAGTCTTATTCACGAGCCCTAACGAGCCAATGTTCACGAGCCTATACGAGCCGAGCCCATCATTGTTCGGGCTCGGTTCATTTACCAAACGAGCCTCGAAATTGGGCTCGAACTCTGCTCATTTACTAAATGAATGAACTATGAGCCCGAGCCCGAACTGTTCATCAACAGTTGGATTCATTTGCAGTCTTACCTGCATATCATTCTTTTTCAGGTCAATTGCTACAGTGTCCCTTTGCAGAGTGAACTAAACCTATTGAAGGGCCTTTGAGAAGTCTTGGTTGTTGCCATCACTATCTTCCTCTTTGCCGCCTCCACCTTCTTCCTTTGGTACTTCTCCCTTACCTCCACCTTCACCATGGCCAAGCTTGACTTTCAACTGAGAATGAAGTCTTACAAGTGGCGGCAAAAATGAGAAATTTTATAGTTTATGTAGATATCTGTATCCCATTATTGAATTGGTAGATTTTATGATCCACTAAGATTGTGGACGAAACTGCGCCAACATTGTTTCAGCTTCGCCGCAGTCCAAACGGTTCTTAAAAACTTTCACCACCCGTCCTGCATTATTAAATATTTCCATTTTCACCACAGTTCGATTATAAAACAAAAAACAAGGATCCTTATAATTTCTTTTCCTCACTTTATTTTGAGTTGAAAATGGAGTTTCTAGTTTACTTTGGCCTGAATGAGTTTAATTACTCCAAAGTTGCAGTCAGCTACCATGGAAGATAGTATCTGAACATTAGAAGTTATGAAGCCATAACTACAATGAAATCATGAACAAATGGCTTTACAACATTCTATCTTTTTTGGAATTGAAGCTTCCCAATACAGAATGCAAATAGGAAAGCAAGAATTATGGGGTAAACACTGAGAACAACAGCAACTACACGGCGAAATCCAAAGTAATCGCTTAAAAACGCCACGACGGTTGTTTTGGCTTCTCCAAACACCATAATCTCTCTGTCTATATCTCCATATTGGGAAGCAAGCAAACCATTTAGTGTCCAAGATGTAGGGCATAGATAATACACCCAGATCCACCACTCAGGAATTTGCTGCAACCCAAAAAACAACACAATTGGATTTAGTATCTCTATATACACGAGTCAAAATCCAAAAACCAAGAGTTTACAGTTTCTTACAAATGGTGATTGGGTGCCTCTATCGGAGAGGAATATGGGTAAAAGCACCCGGCAATCTAGCCAAGGTTTTACAGTAGTTTAAATTGCACTGGTTAGCGCAAAACCTTGGGCCATATGGATTCGGCAGGACTCATATGAAGCACAAAGATCAGTACCTCTCGTAAAACTCTTTTTATCATTTACAAATCCCAGTTTTTAGTTCATAGGAAAGTTCATTTTATAATCTTTTCGTGCATTCACTCCATATTACTTTTACATATAGTTTCTTTAATCGAAACCTTTTTTCGCCATTTATGAATCAAGTCCTAAATAGTTAAAGCAACCAACCTAAATCTGAATGAAATCTAAGTTAATAAGCTGAGTTTTACAAAATCTAAGTCACTAGCTAATCATCTGTAAGGAAGGCTTTGAGAAGCTATCAAAAAGAAATGTAAGGAAGGCTTGACCATAAAAAAGCCTATAAAATTCTGCGAATTTGAATCTTTATGAAGTTTTTCTTACCAACTTAAACTCGATGATTCCACCCTCTGTACAAAATTTGAAATGATTGGGGGTCCATCAACACACAAACATCACACACAAAGAAAAAAGAAATATCTGCCAAGAACTGGGAAAAAATTACCTTTTTGTATTTCTTTTAGTTTGTTGCACATTTTATCAACCAATTTTTCAGATTGCAGGCAATTGACTTTAACTTAAAAATAGGAAGAAAATAAGTTTTTTTTTTCTTTCAAAATTCAACTTTTTTACAAAGAAATTTTGACCACAATTGTTACAGACAAAGTTCCCTACATCCAGAATTTTCAACCACTATGCCATTGTATGGTATGCTAAAAAAGTAAGCTTAAGTGAGAGCATTCACTTTGTTCAAAAAGTGTTAGGATAATTTATACACAGTCCACCCCTTCTAGCACCCCGCAATAATGGGAAATTATTTCATATTTTTTCTGCTATCACCACATTATAAAGCTTGATCCATTTAATAGTTTTAAATTTCAGATTCATTCAGGGGAAAGGCAATACCAAGTGTAGATTAGTGTCTTACCGGTTGAGGAATCATAAATCCAGAAAACAAGACGAAAACTGTGTAAAAAGTCGACTGTAAAACTGCAGCTACTGGATAGCTTGGTGTTATTGCAACGAGCAGCATTCCAAGATAAGTGAAGTAAAGCAGTGTACAAAACATGTTGTAGAAGTACCAGAAAACCTTATAAGTTGACCAATAATACCCGATCATTGGATATGTGATGACCACGAATGCAAGTGACTGGGCGAAGAGATAGGGAACCTCGATTATCACCTATGAAATTGGTGCACACATTTTAACAAGCAGGAAGTACAAAAAACAGACAGCTCCTCACATAGCAGTATCATAATACTTTTTAAGCATGAAAACTTAAAGAACAGAATTTGTACATGGCTAGGAATTCAATAAACTATTGAAATCCAATTAACATTTATTTTCATTCTTAGCTATTCATAGCTAGTTTTTATTCGATTGTGGTGGGTTGGGTAGCTTTAGGTCTTAAGTTGTTGCAATAAAGATGTACAACTAGGTACTCTTGTAGCATTTGAGTGAGGAGAGGATGAAGATGGAGAGGACAGGTAGTTTGGTTTTTTACCATGTTTTCTATTTTAATTAAAAAAAAAAAAAAAAAAAATTCATGGTACAGCAAAGTAACTGTTCTATGAGGAAATAGTATTGCTATATATCCAGTTCAACATTCCCACTTCAGGAAGAACTATGAACTATTCATAAACTGTCAATCAAGAACCCTAGGTAAGATCCAACTCAACTCAACATTATTAAGCTCTAAGTCAATTGTGAGGTCAAACCTCACTGGATTTTGATCAAATCAAGTATACACCAATTCAACAAGTTTCGAAGAAGTACCTGTGCAAGTGCATAAGTCCATGAAGCATACATCCCTGCAAATCTTTCCCGATAAAGAACGGATCTCTCTGTCATTAGATAGGGCAAAACTGCTGAGGAATTATTTATACCCAAGAATGTAAGTGCAAGGAACATTGAACCAAATATATTGAACAAGCTCTGCTGGTTATTTCTGTCCAGAAAAGGAAATCAATGTTAGAGATCTCCGGAAATCCTTCCAATAGCATCATTATAGAAACAGAGACCCTACAGATGTAGTCACTAGAGTTCAGTGGATTCAGAAAGCTGAAGATATTTCTTGAAGAATCGTACTTGTGCATCTGTGAAATCTAACAGATTATGAAACAAACCATAAAGTGTTTTGACTTTTTATTTAATGAATTTCGGTAAACTCAAGAAATGAACGAATAGTATATTCTGCAGTCACCAATCATCCATGAGTGCATTATTCAACGTACGTGCGGCCTACATGGGCTGCTAGAGGGGAAGATTAGAGGACAGATCTAATCTTTGTCATTATTATGTATAAAATCGCAGCTCTGAGACTTGAACCCGCACTCTTGCACTTGTGAGCTTGCTTTTTTTACCGATGTACCAAGAAATGATGCTTTCTAAAGTCTTCCATATCAATGCAAATATATGAAATACTAATGCATTAGTTCAGGAAAAACATGTTTCCCATAAATGACCTGCAAAATGACACTATGTTCTCTCTACACTTGCATATGCATTACCACTGGGTTTCATATTACATTTTCCCAAATTTTATGATGCTTGGTCGAATGCTATGGAGAAGTCAGAATTCAGAGCTAAGAATACGTTGATTCGAACTAATAAACCATCTCAAGGAGAAGGATTTATATAACATGTTCATTTAGCCAAATGGATATCACCATATGCCAAAGTTAATTTGAATTGCGTTCTAATATCACTAAAAACCTGACCTTATTTTAACTTAATTTACTTACATTTTCCTTCCCTGATCCCAGAACAGTATTCCAAAAGCCAAAGATGCAATAAGTGCGTGCAAGGAACGCTGTAAGTTGTATGAAGGACTTCTCCAATAAGACCAATGCTGTTTCCAGAGGCAGGACTTGAACTGTCCCCAACAATTTTGTGAGAACTGGGTTGGGAATGACAACTCCTTTGAACCAGGAGGCGGAGCACTTAACCTATTTACAAGCTCTTTATTGTTCCTACAATCAGAATAACAGAGTCATCATCTACATGCCAAATATTAAAATTCTTATACCAGATTACCAGATATCATAAACAAATCAATGTTTTATGGACAACAATTTTCTTCCAGGTTTCATCATGTCCCAGTGGAGAATAAACTGTTACACCGCATTTTAAAAAGTCAACTGTAAGTTACTATCCCGTATTAGATAAATTACAAATGCATCATCCCATATCCAACTAGCAGCAAACCTTATACAGTTGTCATTTTTTATACTGAAAACTGAAGATTACATAATTAGTTAATAATGAAGTCATTCAGAACTCTAATTAACAATAAACATCAAGGAACCGGCACAAAAATTTGATTCTCGGATGCAATGTCACACCTGGCCTGATGAACTATGAGTAGGTGGTTCGTGAATGAGAATTTAGTTGAAACCACATGTATCATATGGCTGGAAAGCAGCTGATAATGATCTAGAAATACACTAGACAGAGCCTATTTGAAATTATTTACATCACAACTAGCCGCAGTCCAATACCTATTTAGAATGATTTCTCATTGTAGCTAACCAATATCCAATCTTTGCCGCAACATTAGTGAGCAGACGGTCAGGGCTACAGACTGGGAGTCTTACTTATTTCCTTTAGAGCCAGTTATCTCTCTTCTTGATACAGATGCATGATAATGAAGAGGCGCGTGCAGTTGTATTAGAAATAGACGAAACTCTTGGGTCAGTTTGGTGCAATGGAAAAGGGAGGAAAGGAAAGGAAAGGTGATGGAGGGTGATTAAAAAATTGAGTTTGGCATAAATGATTGGAAGGAAAGGAAAGGAAAGGGATGGTTTTGGAAGGATATCACAAGGCTTCAACAGTAACTTTCTTATCCTCCCAAAAATGGGAGGAAATGGAAGGAAAAGGAAGGCTAGGGTTGATGTATTATTTCTGATGCCAAATTTACCCTTACACAAAATTAAGATTACACTTGATTTTAGGATTTAGTTTGCAAAACAAGAATTACAGACCTTGATTAGTTGATTTAGAAAAAAATTTAAAACAAAACCCATACATACAAGTTAGCAGTTGCACAGAGAGAGAGGGGGGCAAGAGAGTCGAGAGACAGCGGGCCAGCGGCTGAAGCTTGCGAATGGTGAACCCGAACTAGAGAAGCGGGCGATGGAAACTGAAAGATATGGGTTTTGATTTTTTGAACAAACTGAATTGATATGCCGATATGGGTTTTGATATAGGTAATATGTTTTGAACTTTTGATTCTTGCAGACAGAGTAAACTGAAATGTATGGGTTTTGAACTTCTGATTCTTGTAGATTTTGTAGTTTGCAGTTGCAGAGAGAGAGGGCAAGTTCAGAGGAGAACGATAATAGATATTGAGGCAATTGGGGAGGCTGAAATGATTGCCCTAAAAATATACTCTGTATATTTTTTTTTTCTGGTGGCCCATCATCCATGGGCCTATAAATTTTGAGGCCCCATATATTTATCTTTTAAAATATAGAAGGGCATAATAGTAAATCTATTAAAATAGTTTCCTTTCCTTTCTTTTCCCAAACATGATTATTATCCTTTCCTTTCTTTTCCTTCATTAATCAACCAAACACGATAGGAGGTTAAAATTATCCTTCCCTTCCCTTCCCTTTCCCTTTCCCTCATAACTAGTGTTATCCTTTCTTTTGATTCCCACTGTACCAAACATAGCCTTAATTAGGGGGAGGAGCGATGGTTAGGATCCTGTGTTGGCAACTTTGGAAAGCCCGAAATGATTGGAATTTTAACAACAACAAATGGAATCAAAAAGGCGTAGTGGATAGGGATCTTTTCCATTTTAACGAGTTCCAGAACAATTGTGATAAAATGACTCCTCACCAACCGGACTCTTCTTTTCTAGGTTGGTAAGCCTTTATAGGCCTTTTTTGAACGGTCGAGGGTATAGCAAGAAATACTTAGTCATTCGGGAACCTCCATACTTCTACTAGGTAATTAGTTGAACTAAATAGTGGGAAGTATGCAAAAGGTTTTCGTGAAACCCACTCCCTCACTATCCCATGGATATAACCATCATATGACCACCTTTAAGCTAACCAATATTTAGTCTTTAAGCTCCTATCGCCACCTTTTCGGTCAAAGAAAAAAACCTCCTTGTGCAAAGACAGTATGGTCCGTCTTCGCTTACTGCAAAAAATAGGTTCTTCTCTCAATGCCCCTTGTGTAACTGTCTCTTATATCAAGATTTGTGGGTTATCAGATCTGTGGGCCTGTGGCACTAAAATTAACTATGTAATGGTTCTTCATATGATATTTATTTGAGAAACACCTCTACATTTGTCACATCTAGCAACTTCGTAATAAATTGTCTAATTTCACAGAGATGCACATTCAAAGAAGTGATTGGAAGTTAACTCACTCATATAAAACAGAATTCTTGTATAGCTGGGCAAAATCTACACCAAGTTCAGCTTCTGCAGATGCAGAAGTGACCTCTAGCATCCATGTTGCTGGATTGTAATTATTTCTGATCTTCGGCACGCCTGAGATACCCTGTTAGGGGACAAGGTTAAATGGAAATACAATTAACAAAGCTTTATTTTCTAGTTGCAAAAGGCACATCCTGTACAATAATAAAATTATAAAAGAGGAAAAAGATGTAAGAGGTCTGTGTTGATGTAGCAAGTTGACCTCAAAATACTCAATGGCGCTACTTGAATGGTGACCCAATGGTCCTGAGTAGATCAGACGTCCACCAGTTTTCAACAGAATTAACTGCAGTGAATGTAATAGCAATGTTAGACAAAAGTCATTTGTATTTAAACTACAATTATTATATATAATTACAAAAAAAAATAATTAAAACTACATTTTCTAAGAAAAAGGAAAAAAATTACTGTCCAACAACATCCATGTATTTTGAAGTGATTAAATCCCATTATAATGTAATTAAAGAAAATATCTATGATATTTCCTATTATTTATTACTGATGGGAATAGGTCTGCCAGATTTGGTGGTAAGGCACATCCAACATCAACAAGCTATAGGAGTTTATCACTTTAGTTTTATAGAATCTTAGTTTAACTTCCTATCCTGGACAGTTATATAAGGAGCTATAATCAGAACTTAACCAAAAACACCACTAACTTATAAACATACTGATAAACATTATCAAAGTAACCAAAACAGCTTGGTCTAACTATTTGTGTTGATTGAATTATTCATATATTGCTTGGTTAGTGTATGATAACTGGAAATTGCTATGGAGTGCTACCACCGGTGATCAAACAGCTTTCCAGTTCGTGTAGTTAATTCCACTTCAGCACCAAAATTAAGTTTACGAACTAAATTTCTCTGAAATTGTTACTCACTAATCGGTTGTTTTCCTACCTCATCAAATACTTCAAATATGTCAACACTTGATTGGTGGATGGTGCAAACAACTGTTCTTCCTGTATTAACCACATTCTTGACTACCCTCATGACAATTGCAGCTGCTCTTGCGTCCAGTCCAGATGTAGGTTCATCCATAAAAATAATAGAGGGGTTAGCAGCAACCTCCACAGCTATTGTGAGACGCTTACGTTGCTCTGTTGAAAGGCCATTAATACCCGGTATGCCAACCAAGGCATCTTTGATTCCATCAAGCTCAATGGTCTCAAGGACTTCTGTCACAAATTCCTGTGAAACATACAAAAGCAATTTAAGTAAATGATAAATCAGTAATTAAAACACTCTCATTCCTTCACAATTCAGATTTAAAACGAGAAAGTTAACACTCTCTTTAATTTAAAGAAATGACCTTATTCAAGGTACCGTTGATTGACTTCTCACTTCTTGCTTTAGGCAAGAAAACTATAGTTTAGGCTTTGGGAAAGTGATTCCCTCTTTCTACTCTTACGTATGTAAACATCAAAGAGTAATTGAATTCAACTTCCTCAAGTGTAGGCCTTACATATTTGGTTTTCAAATCAATCTGAGGATGCAGACGCAGCCAAGCAGAAAATATTACTGATTCTTCAACAGTAATTTGTGGAGAATGTATGTCAGTTTGCTCACAATAACCGGATATCCTAGCAAAAGTTTCCTGAACCCTAGGATATCCTCCAATTTTAATTTCTCCTTCAATAGTGCCACTGGTTTTTCTTCCAGAAAGAACATCCAAAAGAGTTGTTTTCCCAGCTCCACTTACACCCATTATTGCTGTTAGAACACCAGGCCTAAATGCACCAGTAATATCACATAGAAGTTGGAGCTTTTTCTGAGTGCAACCCCATTGTCGCATTTCCTGGAAAAAAAAGAAAATGATAAAATTACCCAATAGATCAAAGAGTCTTGATATCCTACAGCCTCTTAAGATTTATACGATATTGTTTTATAAGATTACCGAAGGGGTGTCAACATAGTATTGCACATCTTGAAACACTACAGTCAAGGGTTGAAATGATAAATCCATTCTGTCTGTAAAGTGAAACAAAGAAACCATGATTAATTGCAGTACGAAGATTGCTAACAAAATAAACAGGTGATAAAAGGGAAGAAAATGCATGAAGCAGTTTTCTAAGAATTACAAAAATAGCAAAGGAAGGATTATTATGCCCAACCTTTATAAGGTACTTGAATAATTTTAGGAGGAGAACTGCTTGAGTTATCTTCAACATTGGTACTGTAGGTGGGATCATCACTTCCATGTAACTGGGAGAGCTTTACATTTGAAATAATAGCACGAGAACCAGGAGCTAGAGAAAATTTGAAATGTGAATCAAATATATCAATCTGTAATTTTTAAAGTTGAATTCTATTCAGAAAGATAAACTTACGCTTTAAGAAACTCAAGGCCAAGGTAAACCCAATGTTGAAAATCATTGTAAACCCAAATAAGGCACCAAGTGATATCCAAAAAAAGTATGCATTGAAGTTCAGTCCACGGCTTTCAAGTGTTTCTTGCCCCAGTGTTGTGTTTGTGGGCAACATCTGCAAAAAAGAATGAAGAGCATATAGTGAATTTGTGATATATGACCATATTCTTTGGATAACAAATGAACCACAAAAACAGATCCGGAACTTGTGCCCAATCGTTTCTACTATTAAGACCTCAAAGATGATCATAAACCTCATACAACAAATCATAATCATTATCATGTTATTAATTGAAAAGCTTAAATAAGTTGAGTATCGGAATATGTGGAGAATAGAAAGATATAATTCCTGCAAAAGTATAATAAAAGGGAGCATTGGCAGGAGAAGAAACACACCAATGTGATGTACCACACTAATACATAAAGTGTTTGATTGTTTATGGACAAGTATGGAACAACATAATCAGCAATTAGAATATCTAATTCTCAGTATGGATTGATCAAGGAGAGACAAGTTGAAAACTACTGACACTGGCAAAATATAGGTTCATGATAAACAATCTAAGGATTAGAGAAGTGAGAATTGAAGTGGGTGGAATTAATAAGAACATGAAATAGATGCATAATATAACAAGAGTTGGCCTTAACTGGTGAAGTCAAGAAATTGATTCATGTTGGGTATCCAACTGTTAAAGTCAATTTGTTCCTAGACTCATCATCATTGTTGGTGAACTAGTTGATGATGGCAACTGATGTAAAAAAAAAGATAAATTATCATTAAAAAGGATGTCTGTCCTTATTATAATAGTTAGTTCTTTCAACATATGTTTCCTTGGACCGACCAATGAGACCACACTTGCTTGTTAGCAACTGTAATAGCATATAGTTCATCAAGCATAATTGTACTCTAACGAGAAGACGGGGGGGGGGGGGGGGGGGGGGGGGGGGGGGGACAACTCAGGCAGTAGGACACTCACCTTTTGCCATCTCGGAGCAAGAAATTCATTTACAGCAAGGCCTATCACTCCATATGTTACTGGAGAAACCCAAAATACCCACTTCAACCATATGGGCATGGAGTCTGCAAACAAGAACACAACTTAGTATTCTTTAGGTCATTATCCCTAAGACCACTTTGAAATTTTCTTATTGAAAACTTACATTGTGGGATAATGAAGCCACAGAACAATAAGACAAATAATATAGATAAACTACAAGCTGTTGTAGAAGCATCGACGGTCTGGAAGACTGATGCCAAGAAACGGAACATGGACGATGATGTTAAGTGCACAGCAAAAAGTAGTATGAACTGGCAGAAAAACCTGTGAACAACAGCTGAATTTATAAGTTAATCCTATCTTTCCTGCAACTACAAACTTAGTGTGCCTGTTACTATTAAGAGTAAGTATGAAGTTTAACTAATCTATGAAAAGTTAACAAAAGGTGAGTCAGTGACCCAAACATAGGTGGAGATAGTAGTGACATTCACCTGCCAGCCTCCGGACTGTATCCAATTACAAAATAAGTTAGAGATGTCCAAATTAGAGCTTCTAACAACGAAAGAGGGGCTTTGAGAATGCAGGATGGAATTGCGTAGGCCCAAGCTGGGTAGAAGTACAGTTCTTTCTGTTTGTAGAAAATCGGAAGTCTTGCCAAAGTCATGGACATCTCTGGAAATCCATCAATTATAAGAATCATGAGGGTGAAGAAGAGAGACCCCAGAAAATAGTTTGCATGAACAAAATCAGCACTCATCCGAGTTTGCAGAAGTTCAGTCATCATCATAGATGCGATTATGACAAGCTGCAAAAAACGTGTCTTTTATATTTCATACCTTAGACATAGAATACCAACAACATAACACTGATAGACATGCATGAATGATTAAAGAATGCACTTCCAAAAGCCTGAAACACAATGCAAAAACGAAGAGAAAAAAAATAAAAATAAAAATAATAATAATGACTAACCTGAATTGATTTGAATGCATACAGAAAATAATCCCTTCTCATGAGGAGAAATTCCCTTGACATGCAAGCTTTAAAGAGTGCCCACTTAGAAAGAGAATACATGCTACCAGAAACGGCACAATAATCACTCGGGGGCTTTACGAATGACTTGGAGAGCTCCTCATCTAGCTTCTTTCCCGAAGGAGATTCCTTGAATTTCCTGGAGAACATATCGACAGAAACATAATTGTGAATTTGTTCAGTCCTGTGCCAATACTGTGCTTGATCTTTCCTTGAGATAACCTGCCAGGCAGTCAATATGTTAAATTTATTCTGAAGATATTTGAGCATAAAAGCAATTTAACATGAGCCATGATGAACCTTTTTCTTTTCTTTTCATTTTTTTCCTTTTGTGTGTTTACATTAAACCAAGAAACATAAACTGTACAAATCTATCAGTGAAGACATACCTTCATAATACAATAGGGCTTGAACCGGCCCATTTCCAAAAACCAGAAAAAACGAAAATTTACAAAACAAAATACCAACAAATTGCCTCAGCTACAAATAACAACTGTTAACAACCATCTACTCTAAAAGCTTAGACTGTTAGAGAGTGTGTAGCTTTAATATTTAAATCCTTAAACAACAAAAAAAGCCAAACACAGAATAAAAGCTTATAGCATTCTGGGCAAGAACAGAAAACTGCAGCTCTTCAGACATTTAAAAATGATGCTAAATCATTTTAAGCCATGATGGACTTACCTCCTGGAGGAAGTCAGCTACCCCTTTCCTTTGAGGACACCGAAACCCACAATGCTCAAAAAATTCTAAAACATGACTTCGGTGTCCATGATACACAGTCTTCCCTTCTGCCATCAAGATAATGTCATCAAAGAGTTCAAAGGTTTCTGGTGCAGGCTGAAGAAGTGACACAAGTATTGTAGCATCTGTGATATGTGCCAGCTGTTGGAGGCAAGCAACAATTTGATATGTGGTGGAACTGTCTAAGCCATTTGATATATCATCCAAAAACAAAGCCTTTGTCGGACCTACAATCATCTCCCCTGCATGATACCCAAAAAAAAAAATCTTCAATTATATATAAAAATACGTGTGGATATTTTGGGATATTCACTTCAAATCCTTGGAAGTTGGAACCTGAAGATTGACTGATATAAGGGATTAATTTTCACTATACCAGAGCTAAATATGGTGAAATAGCATAGTGGGTGATTGTACTATCTGCTAAATCTGTCAAACTTTTGTATTCACACTACCTGTGGTTAATCTTTTCTTTTGACCACCAGAGATACCTCGTCTCATGGCGTCTCCAACCAGTGTATCAGCACAGATATCAAGTCCAAGAATCTGAGAAATCATGGCAATGATGGGTAAATCATCAACAGGCAAAGCATTTAGCCATCTTTAGCATACAAAGTAGAAGCTCGGTATTGTTTCTATTAAAAGAGAATTACTTTTAAAATGTAGTCAGTCTGAAGAGTTGTCTTTTGTCCTTCAACAGTAATTGCCTGTTAAAGCAAAAGATAGTTATTATATTGCAATAATTATGCTAACAACTGCATAAATAACACAAGACATGTAATAAACAACTTTACTGTGTTATGTATTAACTTATATCAACTTGCATTCTGAAATGCATGTTTTTAAGCGACTCTTTTGAGTGCCTGAAGCCCTTAATATGTTAGGAGGGTTGGAATGACCATTTAAATTCCTAACAAAAAACCATATTTAAGCGCATTATCATGATGGCATCTACGTTAGGTGTTGAAGATTCAGATGGCCCAACCAATATAGCAATTCATACAAAGTTCCCCTAACAATCTGAACCAAGCGTCTGTTTTTCATGGATCAGTAATGTTCAAAACCAAAGATGACCAATATGGAGACTAGAATTGTGCTTTAATGCTCATCATATGTCTTTGTGTGGACCTATTGAATATGTTCCAATCAACTGAATCTTGTGGATTGATGATGAATGTACAAGGCATGAATAATGTCCTTATAATGACATCCACACCATTATTATAATAATCTCAAGTTTATTTTCTCATTTAACTATAACATAAATCCTAAGTCCCAATTACTATGATATGACAGAGAATACAAGCTGTGACATATTGTTTTCGCTATTCTATTTTTTCTGATTGAATCGTTATCAACTAAAGATTCTATATAGGGGACTTCGCTTGCGAGCTTTCATCAACCAGTTTTTCTGCAATAGCCCAATAATCCATCATTTTAGTTGGTAATTATAACTAAAAAAGTCTGAGCAGTATTTTCAAACTTTCCACGAAAAAAGAAAGCATATCATCAATATAGTCTCTATATATAGCCAAACCTACGGTTTTAACTCTTAACTGTGCTCATATCTATACAAAGAAAAATATTCTGATCAATATTTCTGACAAAGCCATCAGATATTTTAAAAATGACAGATTATCTCCCTCACAGAACATAATAACAACTCCTCAAATATGGAAAGGCAGAAGAGAAGAGATGCTAAAATTACCTTCATATAAGTATCTATATCTGGATCTGGAACAATTCCTGCCTGTTTCTCCCTTCTGCTGAGCTCAAATATAATCTCTTTGCAGGTAGAAAAGTTATTTTATTATAATTATAACCATACCTATATCCACAGCTAAAATGATCTTAGTTGTGTGCCCAAACCAGACATACCTGCTCGGCTTCCAACACCCTGACAGCAGGCTGAAAAATCAAGTGTTTCCCTCACAGTCATCTCAGCAATGTGTTGGTCATATTGGCTTATATAAGCAGAGGTTTTCTGGGGTACAAACTCTTCCAGTTTGTATCCATTGTAAGAAACTTCCCCTCTAACCTGTTGATAGGACAGAGCATAAATTATTTCCAAGAGTATGAATATGATGTGCATCTTAAAGCAGCTTTTGGCGACCAATCAAAAGACAACTGAAGATTCCATAAATTATGTATAATTTTTAGTTACACTTGCAAAGTATATAATATGTTGACCTATACTCACAATGCAAGCATTTAAAGTCTTCAATTGTGTTAGGGTCGAGACAGTTTCAATCTTAACCTCTTCCAAACTTCAACCCAAAAGAACTTGAGAAAGTTGTAAATTCCAAACAAGTCCCAACTGAGAACATTTCAACCTTAACCTCTTCCAGTTTATTGTGGTACATGAACATTTCTTTTTCACAGTAATACATCATCTGCTCTCCGCACCATACATCTAGAGGGTAGTCCCTTGCGTTGTTCATTGACTCTGATTTAAAAGCTATCCCACCGTAGTAACCAATAAATATTTCTAAAATTAGATGGTTCTTGTGGGTATATGCTACACACAGGGAACAGGTAACTCTAATTTTACAAGGACATATTACATAATAGTTACTAGTATTCAAAACATGAATATATATATCTATATAAGAGGCAACTTTCCGCCTGTTGAAATTTAGATTAAATGACTCTATTTTAGTACAATTTGCATGGTGAGGCCCTCTGGACTGTATGCCAGAAATAAACAAGCTGAATCCATTTCTTTAAGAATAAAACAGTAGTGCCATTGTGCCAACTACAACGCAAAAGAACTTGAGAAAATTTTAAGTTCCAAACAAGTCTCATTTGAGCTTTTTGCATTTTCAATTGTGCAGATTTGCTCTATAAATCAACTTTAAGGATAATTATTTTGTGCATGCTAATATTTGTTTAGGTCTCTCACAAGGTTATTATTAAGAAGATGAAGTGTATAAAAAGGTAGACACCTTGAGAGGTTTTTTCAGATTTCCAGAAAGTGCCTTCAGAAAAGATGTCTTCCCACATCCAGGAGGACCAAGCAGTAGAGTCATTCTGCAAAAAGATGAGCATCCTTAAATAAACTAATAAATTACTAAATTCAACAAGCAAAAACTTGATGAAAAAAATGTTGCGTATCTTGCCTATGAAACTTCACAAAAAGTATCTTTCTCACTGGTAACGAAAATTGAAATAGAGAACTGTTTCAAGGCAACCATATACTTGTGCACAAAAATGAACTAAATGGAAGTTTTATGGGCATGGCAAACCCCAACTGCGTAAATCCGTCAGTGTGCAATTTTGATTGATAAAATTCAACCTACTGATTTATCATTCTGGTAGAGAACAGTGGCAGCAGCCTTTTAAAGTATATAATAGGCGTGGCAAGGAAGGTTCTAAGGCTCAAACCTTAATTTGGCACATGCTAGACGATGGGGGTCCACTTGAAGTCTTGCATAATTAGGGGGTTTGGTCAAATTTCATTATTTTGGTAATTGCATTAATTATGGAAAATCTGCATTGTTTTGGTAAATTGCATAATTAGATTAAATTGCATCAATTAAGATATCTGTTACTTTATTAAGTTAGAGTCAACTTTTGATTACCTCCATTGTAGGGTAATCCAAGGCCCAAGGGTCATCTTTTATTATAAAAGGATACTATGTAATTCGGAAGACTCAGCGAATGATTGAATAAAATTATCCTTCGAGATTTCTTTGTGAGTGATTCACAAATTCTAAGGGTGTGAGGCATTCTCTAGGTGTGATACCTAGGTCCTATTAGAGTGATTCTAATAGGCTTTTCTTTGTTAATTTCAATCCTTCTTTTCTACTAACAACCCCTGAATCTTAGCTTTGTTTCTGAATTTCCAGCCCACTCTTATTTACTTTCTTCTATTTGGGCCTGTCCTTTGTCCTACATCACATTCTCTCGAGTTCGAAAAATATTGAGTCATGTTAAAAATATTCAAACAGTGAAAATCATTTAATTTAATTTTTGGTTGAAGAAGGAAAGGATGGACCACCAAATTGCATGGCAACCATATACTTGTGCACAAAAGTGAACTAAACGGAAGTTATATGGGCATGGCAAACCCCAACTAAGTAAATCCGTCAGTGTGCAATTTCGATTGATAAAATTCAACCAACTGATTTATCATTCTCTCAAGTTTGAAATATATTGAGTCGTGTTAAAAATATTCCAACAGTGAAAATCATTTAATTTAATTTTTGGTTAAAGAAGGAAAGGACATATTACATAATAGTTACTCGGACTCGGCTCATTTACTAAACAAACGAGTGAACAACTCGGTTCATTTGCAGCCCTACCTGCACATCCTTCTTTTTCAAAAGTTACAAAAGGAGGTATTTATCGGGCTAAGCAACACTTAGTTGGAGGCCATAGGAATGTAAGTGCATGCACAAGATGCCCAGTTAGTGTTAGAGAAGAAATCAAAGAGTACACGAGTAAGGAAAAGGAAGAAAAAGATCAAATGAATTTGTTACATAATGATGACATTAATTTCATTGATGGAGAGGATGAGGAAGACGTTGAGGAAGTTAGCAATCAGGGAAAAAGGGTAGCTAGTGCTAGTGTCAATTCCTCAAAGAGGCAAAAATAAAAGGGACCGATTGATTTATATTTCACTCCCAGACCAGAAATTGTGGTACAAAAAAGAAAGGAGGAGGGAAAACAGACAACCATTAATGATGCATGCAAGAAAGAGTTTAGAGGAAGAACGTGTGCTGCTTTCGCAAGGTGGATGAATGATGCAGGAATTGCATTCAATGCTGTTAAGTATGATAGCTTTGTCGAGGCTGTTGAAGCATTTGGACAATATGATCCTGGCATGAAACCACCTAGTTATCATGAGGTGAGAGTTCCTTTGCTTAGGAAGGAATTGGATAATACAAATGCTTCGATGAATGACCATAGAGAGGAGTGGTCAAAATTTGGATGCTCATTAATGGCAGATGGGTGGACAGACATGAGAGGGAGAATATTGATTAATTTCCTAGTAAATAGTGTAAGGGGAACCATGTTTATTGAATCGATAGATACTTCTTCTTATTCAAAGGATGGTGAAAAGATGTTTGACTTACTTAATAAATTTGTGAAGCGCATTGGAGTAGCAAATGTTGTCCAAGTCGTCACAGATAGTGACTCAATCAATAAGTATGACGGTAAGAATGTTCAATGTTTTATATACTTTTAGAGTTTAGATTCTTTACAAATATATAATTTAAATCAATTTTGATTTCCTCATTCTCTTTATATCATTTTTTTTTTCCGTTTGGTTTCAAATAGGGAGGATGTTAGAGAAAGAACACCCACATTTGTATTGGACACCGTGTGCTGCTCATTGCTTAGACTTGATCTTGGAAGACATTGGGAAAATACTGTCCATCTCTAAAACAATGAAGAGGGAAGTGGAGTTGAATAGTTATATTTATATGCGTCCAAAGTTATTGAACATTATGAGGCGCTTTACTCACAAAAGGGAGTTGTTTAGGCCCGCTAAGACTCAATTTGCTACTTCTTTCATCACATAATCAAGTATTCACAAGCAAAAGAATAACTTGAGAAAGATGTTTACTTCGGAAGAATGGAGTCGTAGCTTCTTATGTTTTGATGCCTTCCTTTTGGAACACTATTGTCTTTAGCCTTAAGGTTTCCGGTCCTCTTATTCTGTTTTAGAGATTAGTTGATGATGAGAGAAAGCCTCCCATGGGATACATTTATGACACTATGGATAGGGCAAAAGAAGCCTTTGCAAAATCATTTGGGGAAATAAAAGAGAAATACAAGGAAATTTTTGAAACCATTGATAAGAGGTGGAATGTTCAACTTCATCGCCCTTTGCACGCAGCAGATTTTTATTTGAACCCAGAGTTATTTTATTCAAATCCGAATATTGAAGAAGATGAAGAGATTGCAAAGGGTTTGTATGAATGCATTGCAAGGTTAGTACCGAACATCAAAGAACAAGACAAAATTACTAAGGAGCTATCCTTATATTCTAAAGCTAGGGGCCTCTTTGGTAATCTCTTTGCTATTAGACAGAGATGTACATGAGGACCACGTAAAGTGGTAAAGTATATTAAGTTAGTATAGCTAAGTTTTTAAATTATTTTGACAATAGAGTCGATACAAAGATGAAGCTAAAGTTGCTAAACTTCATTACTAATTTTTTTTAATAGCTAATTGGTAGGAAGCTTATGGCAAGTCAACAAAACATCTCCAAAAGTTTGCTATAAAGGTTTTAAGCCTTACTTGCAGTTCTTCTAGTTGTGAACGAAAATGGAGCGTGTTTGAGCATGTAAGTATATACTATCTACTAACTAGGTTTGTAATTTAATTGTTGAAAATTAAATTTTTAAGTTTTTATACTTAATAGTTAAAGTTGAATTTATTGTAGCTTCATAACAAGAAAAGAAATAGGCTCGCTCAAACAACTTTGAATGATTTAGTGTTCATCAAATATAATAGGGCATTGAGGCGACGATATAATATGCGTGACACTCTTGATCCCATTTTACTCGATGACATTAATGAGAGCAACGAGAAGTTGAAGGGGAGGATGGATGATTCTAATGCAGAAGATGATCTAGTCTTAGAAGATGATTCCTTGACATGGGGTGATGTTGCTAGTGTTGTTGGTATTGGAGAGGATAGTAGGCACCGGTCTAGATCAAAATCTAGTTCACGGTTACCAACAAAGGCAGTAGGAAGTTCTTCAGTTCGACTTGTGGATGAGGATGAGGATGAGGAAGAGGCAGATTCAAATAAGATAGAAGAGGATCCTGAGAATTATGAATCCTTTAGTGACGATCAAGATGATGTTAAGCTTATTGATGACGAGGATGATATTTAGATTCGTTGGTGTTGTCTTCTACGAAAGAAATGATGATGTCTATGTTTGTTATAGTTTTATCTCATAATTCTCATTAGTGGACTTTTGCATATTTATATTAATATGCTGATTATTCACTGTTGAACTCAAGTACTTGATTTTGTTGGCTTTGGCATCTTTATGTTGAATATTGAACTTAAGTAATTGATTTAGTTGACTTTTACATCTTTATATATACTATTACATCTTTATTGGGTGTTTTTTTTTTTTTTTTTTTTTTTTCCAACGTGCGCCTCGCTTCAATCGGGCACGCGCCTCGCCTTGCGCCTTAGGCTCCAGGAGGCCTTTGCGCTTTTGTGCGCCTTGAGCCTTTAACAACTATGCTGGAGCCTGTGTGATAAACAAATATTATCAACTTGAAAGGGAATATGTCACTGGCTACAAGGCCAATCATTTTTTATGGTCTAACCATTCAAGAATGTGGCATGGTAAAAAAATAAATAAAAATCTTTGTAAATCAGCATCACTAAAATAAGGATTCCCAGTTAGATTAGTGACAAGACAATAAAGGAAACAATTGAAAATGAATGCTTCCATTAGAAGGTGAAACCAACAGAAAGATGAGGAAAGCTGATGAGCTGGTTGGTCACATGTGATGATTACCAATCTTGCTTACTGGTAAACGAATTAATTTGCTTCAAGTTAGAGATGCTAACAAGAAATAAGTAAGACAAAAAGGAACGTCAGTTGAGGTTGTTAACCATCATCTCCTCTAAAGGCTTAAGCTGTTAGACATGTTGTACCTTTAATATTCAAATCCTCTAACATGGCCCCTCACATGTGGCCCTCTTTTGGTCCAACACGTGTTTCAATTTTAATTATCAGGCTGACGGTGAGGTTTGAACTCAGGACCTTGCCTCCTCTGATACCATGTTAACCACCATGACACCATCTCCTCTAAAAGTTTAAGCTGTTAGAGAGGGTATAACTTTAATAATTAAATCCTCTAAAGAGGTAATGTAAAATAACTAGAATATATATCTGGTTCCTTACATAATGCAAAGTAGAAATCTTAACTAGTTCAAGTAACACTTTTACTGAGTTGCAAATCTGGTGAAGTTAGGTTATATTAAGTTTCAATTGTGTACCTCCCAGGCTTAATGATACCACTGACGTCATTAATGATGGTTATCTTTGCCTCTTGTGACTTTAACCCAGGCAACTTAGCAAAATCCTGCTTAACAGAATGCACCAGTCATTATATATTTAAAACGATAAATAGGGAGCTGCAACCACAACAAAAACTGCTTTTGGACAAATATGCATAAAACATGGATTCACACGTTAATTCTTGCATCCAAAAAGCAAGAAAATGCGACAACAGATGTAACCGAGGTTTTAACATCAAGTAGTATCTCCTCATCTTCTTATATGAGAGGCTAAGGGTTCAAGGCTTCATTGGGCCAATAGGTGGGGTGTGAGTATGTCTGCTTACCAATAAAGAAGAAAAAGAGGGGGAAAGAAGGGGAGGGGGGGGAGGGGAATGGATCATTTTCTTCTATTCTGGCAAGTACTCAAGTGGTGTACCAAATGTTTTCACTTGCACTATATAAACAACAAAACCACTAATGTTTGGCTCAAATAATTACCCCTTCATATTTTAAATGGCAAAAAGAATTATTGATCAAAGCAGTGCATGGGAAAAAATATAATTCATGTAAGGCCTAGAAATGACATTGCTTAGGATTGAATGGATTAGAAATCTGGACAGACTGAATCTGAAACATTTTTTTTCAACATGCCAAGCCATTTGAAGTTGGAAATCTTTTCAGAACTAAAAAATAAATAAATCATAATAAGAACTTTTAAGAAGCAAAATTACTTCATACAGATAACAATCACACCAAATTTGATTGGCAGGTAGAGTGTTGTTGGGTCGGCCAGAATGAATTTGTATTTGTTAAGACACTAACCAGAACCAGCAGTCTGGCAAGGTGGAAATGACCCGTTCCACCGTATAAACATACAGATGAGGGTAAATCTCTAAAGTTACGTCAAGAAAATTAAAATACTTACAAAAAGCATGCTTTTGAGTGAATTCCATAGAGTTGGAAGGGGCTTGCCCTGAACTACCTCACACTCTGCTTCCACTCGCAAATTGTTATATCTCACCTCAACAGTGGGAAATTGTACACCAACTCTACAAGAATCAAATAAAATTTTAGCCCAATAACCCTTGTATAAATTTCTTGAATTGTCATTGCTACAAACACGTACAGGGGAACACGCGGCAAATATGAGGATTCAATAATTCAGGTAATAATAAACTCTTTCAAGGTATCATAAAACATTAAAATTCAAGTTAAAAAGTTACCATAATTTCCACTGGCTAGCACAGAGAACTTGGAGATGTAATGCCACAATGTTATATAGAGAAGAAAATGTATCCAATGAAACAAGTATATCCAAGTATATGTTCACTTCAAGATTCATAGATGTGTGTGTGTGTGCACGCACAAACGCGCTCTTATCTGAGCCACTAAGACCATAACCTTCATTGTCTGGCACAGAACCTGAAGCATCAATGCCACTGAATGGTATATACGGATGACAGTTATGGAAGGAAACTTCCGTCTACAGTGAGAAACTTAATCAACTAATCAATGAAAAAGACAAGCAGCCAATAGATAATGATAAGACGACATCATGTGGAATATTCCACGTCAATATAGTTAGTGGTCACTTTTGTTTCACATTGTTTAGTAGGTCTGTCCAGCGTGAGTAGCATTGCTCTTTACACAATGTAAGCAAATATAACCACGTATATGTGCACTTCAAGATTCTTTTCTATATGACATACACATATACGTAAGTATAAATGACAACATATCCAATGCATGTAAATTTGTAGTGTATTACTTTATGGCATAAAAAAGGAGGGAAAAAAAAATTACTTACTAGTCCATTCTTTTTCTGAGTTTAAGCCACAAGCGAAGATTGTCACACTCAATGTTTTTGATAAGCTTCTCAATGAACAAATGGCATTCAAGAGCACCAAGCTTAGTGACATCAATAACCCTTTTTCCTTTAACCCCATTTTCACCATGTCAAACAAAGATGATTTCAACCTTCCAAAGGTGGGTAATCTCTCTATCTCAGCCCATTGCAATGCACATTCATCATCAACCTCATCACCCTTTACAGAACCCAAATCCGAATTGCTTCGGAAACTAGAAGTATGATGTTGAAATGATGAACAGAGACTTTTTAGCTCTGTTCTCAGTGATTCTATCTCATCATTACCTGCCAACTGCGCCATATTGAGTACTAGGGGATTTCAAACTAGGAATGGTGGGAAGAGGGACAAAGAAGTTGTGGATTTATACACAGATGTGCAGTTTTCTCTTTATTTTTTAGAATAGTATATTTAATGAGGTTAATTGTTGCATCCTTCTCATTCCTCTGTAAAATGTAGTTGAAAAAGTTTAATAAGAGTTGCTACCTTACCAAAAAAGAATAAGGAAAAAGAGATGATATTGTTGTTAAGGTAATATTTCAATGTAATATTTCACTTACCTTGTATAGCACGCACCAAGTGTAACTTTCACTAACCTCGTTGACTTGTATAGCTCTGTCGGGACCCACCCCTCAGTATCTGGATATTGTCTGTTTTGAGAAGAAAGTCTACAATACCCCGGAAGACCGTACCCTCGAGTGTAACAACCCTCAACCTAGCCAGACACAATATTGTCAGCTTTTAGCCCCCCCGGACCAGATACTTCCCATTGGTCACCCATCTTGATACTACTTTAGGTTATGCACGCTTAACTCTGGAATTCTGGTGGGTTGATGGCCATCACGGCTTTAAAACGCGTTGTGTCATAGAAGGGTGTTGAATCTACATATAGCACTTGCCCCATCCACACCCATATGATGTGAAGACAGAGTCTTCTTTTTCCTTTTCCGATTTTTCCGTCATTCATTATTTATTTATTATTTATTTATTTTATTATTTGATTTATTCTTTTTCTGCGTTGCCTTTGGGTTTTGTTGCTCCCGAGGTAGGCTTCGGTGTTCGAAACTGATTTCCGACACCACGTGCATTGCATTATTTTATCTTTTATTGCCCACGAATGTCTTAATTTCATTGTAAAGCATGCTCGTTTATTTTTTATTTCCAGGGGTATGGATGCATTGTTTATTCGGAAACGTTTTTGTTTTTCGGGGTGCTTTGTGTAATTATGTTTCTGGGATATTTTGCTTAGGGACCATTTTACAAATATTTCTTTGAGATATTTAGAGGAAGGACCTCTTTGCAATTTTTGAAAGGTGTGACAAGTCACCTTTTCCATGGACCACATGTTGACTTTTGGGTGAAACACTTGGAAGTTTAGGATGGTAACAAATGTAAGGCTTAGATTAAGCCTAGTGAGGAGGCCTAGGATCATGACAAGTGGAGGGTGGATGCGTGTGTGTGAGAAAGAGGTAGTGTTGGTGTAGTATATTTGACTACACAAAGCCATTTAGTTAGTGGATTTTCTTGTGAAAAGTTGTCTTCCTCACTTGACCGCCATTGAAGCACCTTGAACCCTAGCCACCACTTCTTAAATTCGAACCCCTTTCCTTGGGATTTTGGTCTTCCACCTTGAAGACAAAAGTTCCCTCTCTTCCTTTTCTAGAACACCTTTGCTCAGTTTTTCTGTTTGATTTCATTTGTCTTGGATTCTAGAGGAACAATCCTCTAGTGAGGTAGGGAATGTCATATGTTTATACCCTTAGTGTTTTATGCGTTCTTGGAGTTGATATACATTGTTTACATGTCCTTTTCATATTCTAGGGTTGTATATAGTTGTACCTTGTATGAAATTAACTTAGGACTTTGTATTATTTAAGGCTTATACACGATCTTTGTTTGGTGTTAATATTACTTCATTTAGTGATGTTTTGAAATCTTATGATTCTATTTAGAGTAACTATTGAATCTCTATCGTATTGTTGCCAATGATTTGATTGTGTATTTAGTATTATGTTGATGTTTGAATCATGGAATTGAAACTCCAATTGTAATAACATGAATGAAATTCTTGTGTTGACAACATTGTTGTAACTTAGTGGAATTCATATTCTGATCTTGTTATAGCATTTGTCATTGTAGCTTGAGGACTTAGGGCATGACTTGTGTGGGATTCCTATATGGTTGTGCATTATATACTTAGTATATTTGTGTTATAATTTGTTGATTTTGGAAACTTGGAGTGTCGTTGTATGACATAGCTAGAATAAGGTTCTAGTGCGGAGGGTTCGAGTTCCTCCCAAATTGTGCGCACTAGGGTAGTTCCCGGCGGGCTAGTAACCCAAAATAGCTATTATACGTTTGGTTTTATCCGGCGTGATGTCCAAGTATTTCCATATTGTTGATTTCACATTTAGTTTCAAGTTGATAACACTAAATTGTTGTAACTTGTTTTTGGCTTTGTTGGTTCCAATTTTGTTTAATTGTGGTATTCATTCTGGATTATGTTTTTATAGTTTCAAAGGTAGCTTTAGGATGCTCCCTTAGCACCAAATTGAACTTAGACGTTAGGTGGCATGATCCACGTGTATCCGTTTATATTAACTTGCAAAACAGTTAAAACTTTAGGCATGTGCATTATCCCACGGAGTAACTTGTTTACTCACCCAAGTTGATTGTGGTTTTTTAAGTAAAGAAGTCCTCTTCTTGGATGGACATCACTCTTAGTCCTATTGTTCCTTTAGTGTCATGATCACACTTCTTTTGAATGCATGTAAAGTGTTTAGCATGCCCTTTTGTATATTTTTGCAACCATGGGTGTATGGTTTACATTTCAAACCCTTCTTTGTAATGAGGCCTTAGAGCCATTTGTATTCTATTTTGACACGTATTTATCATTTGTATACGAATTCAAGTACTTCTATGCGTTTAATTTACATGTTGGACCAATGCATGAGGGTAAAATGAGACTTAAGAAACCCTTTTAAATTTCTGGTGTATGGCAGGTTCTTTAGCACTTTCTCGAGGCATTTCGATAGATCGAAATTCCATTTCGGATGATCGGTTGCTTTTCAAATTCTAATTGAACAGCTCAGTTCCAATTCCAGTAGCCTTCCATCTTTTTGAGCCACAACCAGTAGGCCGTTTCTTCATTTCGGACGACCGGAGTGTGGTGCACCTTTGGCTCATTTCGGTTGACCGAAATGCTGCTGCATTGTGGGCCTTGTTTGGTTTGTTGTTTTAGCATGTTGGAACCATTCATATGTTCACACTTTGCACCATTAACCTTGTATAGGCCACCTAATTGTGCACATGGTCTAGTTTGACCTAGATCGTGCCTCCTTGAGCGTCGTTGGTGCCCAAAGGTACCATTTGACCATTTTGACTTAGCTTCCACATTTGGACCTGTTATCGGGTCAGTTATCGGGTTACTCGCTAACTCACCGAGTTTTTCAGAATTCAAGGCCGTCACAGGTGATGTGAGATTGTGCACCACTGCACCTGTAGCTCGCCCAGTGGGGTAGCGTATTGGTGCCACCTGCACATACTCACACATACCTGCCCACAAGGTCGTCACAATCACCCCCCCCCCCCCCCTCCCCCCTCCCCCCTCTTTGGGGTCCAAAGTCCCCGTTGACCACACTTCCGGCTGGGTCAGGCTCTGATACCATTTGTAATAACCCTCACCTTAGCCAAACACAATATTGTCCCTTTTTTACTTCCCCGGACAGGAGACTTCCCAGGGGGTCACCCATCCTGGTACTACTCTAGGATAAGCACACTTAACTCTGGAATTCTGATGGGTTCATGGCCATCACGGCTTTAAAACACGTTGTATCATAGAAGGGTGTTGAATCTAAATATAGCACTTACCCCATCCACACCCAGGCGATGTGAGATTGTGCACTTGTAGCTCGCCCAATGTGGTAGCGTATTGGTGCCACCTGCACACGCTCACACACATCCACCCACAAGATCGCCACACCAAGCCTCTCAACCTTTGGATCATCAATCAGGTGGTCCCACCATCACATCCAACGACTAAGAGCCCTGGGGTACGGTACCCGGGGTATTGTAGAATTTTTCGTCCATTTTGCACACTCCCATATAAGTGCCACCAACCGTCACAATCGCCCCCCCCCTTAGGACCCAATGTCCTTGCTCGCTGTGGTCTAACCCTCACAGGCTTGTGCATGCTCCTCATTTCCAGCTCGGGATTGATTCTAATACATCTGCCAGGACATGGGTAGATATTGTTCGTTTTACACAATCTCGATTTTTGAAGCGCATCTACATAGACATTTCCCTTACAAGTACCAACAACCTCTCTCCCCAAAGACTCTGTGATGTGGGCCATCTCACCAAAGTGTGTAATAATATACAAAGGCTTGACCTTTTCTCCTCACTTTTAATACTATTTCTACTTCTAACATGGTATCAAAGTCATTACCAATGATTATTATTATTATTATTATTAGGGTTAACAACACCCCTCAACTATTATTTTCTTGCAAACTGCCCCCTTCTGCCTTAGATTTGCCTCCCTCAACTATTGAAATCTTTCAACTCCTAAGTCCTACCTCCTTCTAACAGCAACTATTATGCTGTTAAAATAGATGGTAAAATGACAAGAGTCGTCAGTGAAAAACACCTATATGGAATGCATAGAGTGTATAACCCCCTATGTGTTCTAAAAAGTCCCTAACATTTAATTTTGGAGCAAACAAGGATCTGAATACTGAGAAGACTAAAGTGCTTCCTCTATAACTGAATAAAAAAATAGGTAAAAAACTAATTAAATGTGAAATGACTAAACTGTCCATCTTTTCTTTTCTTTTTTTGGGTTTCTTCATCATCACTGCTACCAGTAATGGAACAACGGCGACGACTTAATATTTCGTATATATAAAAGGTAAGGTCATTATCAGAAGAAATAATGGCGTTTTTGAATTTTATATCTTAAAAATGACTTCAAACCATTCTCTGCTCATTTTTCAAACTTAATGGACTTACCGGGGTGCTATTTGTCCAAAATGTAAAATGTTTTTCCCACTCTACCCAAATTACAATAATAAAATAAAAACCTTACTAATTTGTAAAAACAGAACAAACAAACAAACAAACAAAAATTCTGAAATTTTCTAATTTGTAAAAACCCACTAAACTCTCGGTGTTGGTCTCTCATTGCCCCGCCATCTCTCTATCATCGCTCTCTTGTGGCTGGCTCCCTTCCTCTTCACTCCCTATTGAATAGATGATAAAGATGCATAACCTCAATACCTCCAACGCGATCTCACAATAATAAACACAAACACAAGTGCTGTAAAATCTCTAGACCAACATGAAGATGAATCTCGAGAATTTACAACAAGAAGATGGGTAAACATTGCAAGCTAAATGTATATCTAAATACACACATGCGCACACATATAGATTATGGACAAATTCACAAATGGGTAAGTGCGACAATGAGATAAATATGCCAGTATGTGTCAAAGAATGGGTTTCTGGCAGTACTCATATTAACATTGACCCTCTTGGCTTCGAAAACGGCGATTATGCTCCGCTTCGTCATCGCCGCCATCGCCGAACCCCAGACCACCACTTATTCCACCAAACACCGCCGCCGCCGCCGCCGTACTCCTCCTCCGCCCTTCCATCATCTCTCACCTTCAAGCAACCGCCGCCTCCTCTCACCTTCTTCCACATCCTATGCCCTGGGACTCGTACCGGCAGCGTCGCCGGCAAGGGAGGTGCAATCATCCGCATTGACGACTACATTCCCGGTTGCGAATAGCGTGTGATCGTAATCGGCGCAAATTCAACCAAGAAAGAGAGTAGTTTGGTAGAGTGGAAAAGAAATGAAATGATTTAGGAGAAAATAAATTGTTTGCTTCATTAATAAAGGAAAAGAAAATAAATGATATTAGTAAATCATGTTTAAAGAAAGAAATGAAATTATTCATACTAAATTTTATTTTTTAAATTTTATATTTTATATTTTTTATTAAACACATTTTTTTATTTCTTTTTATTAATATTCTTTTCTTTTCCTTTCATTTTCATTTTACCGAACTCACCTTATTTAACAACTTAATGGAAAGAAGGGTACACATAATTTTTAATGCCATGGGTGGAGAAATTACGAATTCAACAAGCAGGGTTACCCACAATTCCTAATTAAATGAATAAAGGTCAAATGCGTTTAGACACTTGAGTGATGTTTAATAAAATTGATAAGTATTAAAAAAATTAAGAATTATAAGATTATATAGTTGACTTGTATGTGTTGAACATATATCTAAACTTAAGACTTAGGGTTATACCACCTCCACGATCATTAGATGAAGAAATTAAGGTAAAGCTTTATGAATTAATAAGCCATAAAATTATTATTAACAAGAGTGCTCTCACTATTCGAGTGCTCTCCCGCTCTCTATGTGACTTAATTCATGAATTCAACCGGATTACACACAACCCACAACTGTGAACCCTAACAGCCAAATTGAATTTTAACTTCCAACAGATAACAATCTCGTTAGCCCTTGTTAGTCTGGGTCTAAATACTTTTCTTGCCTAAAATTCCTTTGGGCTTGGGCTTCTACTGTAATACCTATAATATTGGGCTATATTTAGTATTACCTTCTGGGTTGATTCTTTTCCCTTTTGTAGTTGGGCCAAAAACACACTGTACATACCTACTTCATATATACAATTTACTTCAATTTTTGGGAAAAATTAAATTAAATCAAAACAATAAATATAAAAATTAAAATATTAATATTAATATATTTTCCATTATTGTTTAAAAATTGATACTTAATTAAGAATTCACGTTTAATGGATAATTAATAAAATAACATAATTTACTTAAATCCAAGGAATCAGTAGAACTCTATAGCAATATATTTCATTCTAAAATATAAGTGAAATAATATATGTATTCACTAATATTTGTATTTATAAGTTTTTTATTTAATAAAATTCTCACAAATTTGCTAAAATAATTGAAATACCAACTAACCTCTCTATTAGTTCCTGGATAATCAAGTACTAACTAAAGTCAAATGAAGAAACAAATTAATTAATTCGAAAGAACCTTCTTATCGGTTTTTTAGTCTCATAAATGAAACCTAATTTTCTCACAAGAAAGTTGGAATGCGTAATCACTTTATATAAGAGAGAGAGACAGAGTGGGGCCCAACAAAACAGAAAATGGACTGGTCTTTATGGAATTTGACTTGATAAATGGGGTCTTTTCAGAATTTTATAATGATTTAGTGGGGGATATTATATAATTAATTGAAGTTCTATATGCATAATAGAAATAACAAGAAAGTGCAGTTGAGACTCGAGACAGCTGCTCCCACAACCCTAACTCCCGTTGTTTGATTTAGTGTTGTTGGAGTAGCAATGGGGATCGCATTAAGTGCCCCCACCCCATGGAAAAAGTATTAAATATTCTTAAAGTATGGTACTCACTGTCATACCGAGAGTATTTAATATTTTCTCTATCATATTATCTTAGGTTTACATCCCTTTTTACTTGAGGGCCCTTATTTTTAAAAAATATCTTTATAATACCTCTAAAAATATTTTTATATTTCCAACACACTTGTACATTGACCTCAAAATGGAGAGTTTGAAAATTAATTTAACTTAAAGTCCTTTAAAACTTATAGAAAAATTTTAACCATAATTTGAAAGCATAAATTTATTTGTGAATTAAGTAAATATATGCATTTATATTAATTCAGGAGAGAAAATTGTGCAGATGTCCCTCATTATTAATAAAAATGCATTAACTTTTTTGGTCACACATTTTAGCCTTACTGTGCTTACAACTAGAATTTCTAAAATTATATACCAATCACTATTTTGAGACTTACTGTGTCTTGGATTCATTAGGAAGGAGAAGGAGAAGAAACTAAAGTGTTTTGAGACTTAAATGGCAAAAATGCCAACAATAACAACGATATCATATATACTAAAACTTTTAATTGCCAATTTTCTAAATGAAAATTTTGTATGGTTATTTGTTGTATATGTTAGTAAAGTAATAATTTGTTTTTGTTAAGATATGTTAAATTTTATGTAGTTAAAGATATTAATATTTAGTGAAGATAATAATGATGTATATTTTTTCAAAGTGGAATCAATGTTCTCAAAACATTTTTTTACAAATTGGATTTTTTTAAAAAAAATTAAAAGAATTGCTGAAGAAAAATTAACTCTCTGCCAATGGTTTTTCTTTACCTCTTCTTTTTAACTTATAAATTATCGTTTCCTTTTCTTTATATATTTCTTTCTCTTATCAATTTTTTTTATTTATTTAGGTTGCAATTTTTTTTTTTTTTTTTTTTTTGGGATTTTTCTCAAGGTTTATATACTATAAACAAAATTATTTTACAATTGATTTTAAAATAATTTAAATTTAATTACATGGCAGACATTTGGCCCCCCAAGTTAAGATTTCTGACTCGCCTCTGCCCCTGCCCCTGCCCCAACTTCATTAATTACTAACAAGTAAAAAATAATAATATATAATAATAAATAATAAATGAGAC